GTTTGTTCCTGGGGTTTTTTTCTTAGTTAAACTTTGCTATCAAGCCAGTGTAGCTTTCTAAATCCAATGATAAGATTAAGATTTGCTGCAAGCAAGATAGTACAAAATTTTCATGTACACTAAATTCCCAGTTCTACACCTGCCCTTTGCTCTTGCCCTTTCCTCTGTCCAAACGAATAAAAGAAAACAAAACCCTTCAACTCACTGCCTTCCAGTTGGAACTGGCTAACAGTTGACCCTCCATGGGAAGATATGGGAGAGATTGTCCATCTTTCTCACTGAGCCACTGGAGGATTCACGCTGCCACAGAGGCATGATGTCTATTTATATTTGGAGCCCAGCTCCTTATGGACTTTGTGAATCCTGGCTTATTCCCTATATGATTCCTGTGAGAACAAGTCTGAAAAGAATTTAAAGCTCGGGCCTCTTATTAATTTGGTAAGACCTGCCAGAATTAAGCAAGTAAGCCATGGTGGAACTGGCAATGGAAAAAGGCCCTTAACTCACTGACAAATGCTGGTTCCGCCCCATTTCTACATGCTCTACAACAGTATCGTCCCTCCAGGCATGCTAAATCGTGTATAGTTGACAGTGTCGGTCTAAAAACACATTAAAAAAATGTGTTCTTAAGGATGCTCCAGTGGTTTAGGTTAGCAAACATTAAGAGCCCACAGTCACTACTAGTTTGGTTTGGTTTGGTTTGGTTTGGTTTGGTTTGGTTTGGTTTGGTTTGGTTTTCCACAGATGGCTTGTACATGAAAATAACTCACAAAATAAATAAATCAATATTTCACACACACACACACGCGCACAGTGCACATAGTACACATGGGAAACAAACTTGCGAGGTAATTGTGAATTTTGCAAAAAGCTTTGTGAAGCATGTGTTATTTGCATAAACACACGGTAAATGTTGCACCTCTCTCAGGATTCTTTCAGTGTCAATCAGTGATTTCTGGGATCCATTAGCTAATTTCCCTCAAAAGAATATCATAGTACTTCAGTTGTAAACGTTCTAATGGGCTTGTGCCCACAATGTTGGAGGTTAAGTAAATATGTTGTTCTCAAGTGCCATTGGGTACAGTACGGTTCATAGCAACCCTGTAAACAAAAGAATTAATTATCTTGCTCTATATTAATCACTGGGCCAATTGGCAGCATCAGGATGGATGGTGAAGAGATTGAGATTGTTCACAGCTTCAGTTTGCTTGGCTCCACAGTCAACACTCTTGGCACCAGCAACCAGGAAATTAGAAGACGTATTACCACAGGAAAGTCTGCTGTTAGGGACCTCTCCAAAGTACTGAAGAGCAATGGTGTCTCTTTGGAGACCAAGGTGCATCTGATACAGGCCATGGTCTTTGCTATCACTTGTTATGCATCAGAGAGTTGGACAATGACTAAGGAGGATAGAAGGAGAATTGATGCCTTTGAGCTTTGGTGCTGGAGAAAGTATTGAGGGTACCATGGACTGCTAGGAAAACAAACAGATTCATCCTAGAAAGGGTGAAACCAGGCTGCTCCTTGGAGGCAAGGATTCTGAAGCTCCATCTAACATACTTTGGACATGTTGCAAGGAGGGACAGGTCCTTGGAGAGGGACATCATGCTTGGTAGGTTGGAGGGACAGCACAGAAGGGGAAGGCCCCCTATGAGGCAGATTGGTTCAGTGATTGGGGTAATCGGGATGGATGTGTCAGAGACGGTGCGATTGGCACAAGACAGAGCAGAGTTTAGGGCTGTTGTACATAGGGTCACTATGAGTCGCAAGCTACTCGATGGTGCATAACAACAACATATTAATCATATAGGGTTTCTCAAGCCCATTGTTAACAGTTACTGTGTCTGTCTGTCTTCTTGGAGGTCTTCTTCTCTTTCTCTGACACTCCATCTGTCCAAGCCTGATGCCTGTTTCCAAGGACTGGCTCCTTCTGGCAACTTGCCCAAGATGAGACAAAATTTCACATCCTTGCCTCCAAGAAGCAACCTTGTTTTATTCCTACAAAAATCAGGACCCTACACTTCTAAAGTATATAAAAGACATTTTACAGTACATCACAAGGGGAAAAATTAGATGTTTCAATCTCTTATACAAGAATTTTCATATTTGTTTTATCATTTTAATTTATAAAATATTTGGACATTTTTCATTTTGAAACATTTCTTGGTTGCATGAAGCTATGCAAGGATTTACAACTCTCTCATCTACCACAGGCAGCATTTTATACATTCAATTCTGCATTCACAAGGCTCATAATTCTTCAGTTTAAGAGAAACGATGCCAAAAATAGCACTTCATTCAGGCAGCACCATATCTGAGGAATCCAGTGCGAAATCTAGGCAAATAGGGTGTGCTAGCATTTGATACACATTTATTTTGGTCCTTCATTTTTATCAAAACTTTTTTTGTTGTTAGGTCCCATTCAGTCAGTTCCAAATCATAGCATTCCCATCTGTGCAGAGTGGAACTACTCCAGAAATTTCAAAGCTGTGATCTTTTGGAAACAGATAGCACCAGTCCTATTTCCAAAATGCCTCAAGTTTGGTCCAAACCACCATCTTTATACTAGTAGTCAAGGGTTGAATATGCAAGGGAATTGATGATTAAAGACTATAAAGTTTATCAAAGGATTAATAATTGAGGAGACAAGGTTGAACCTAGGCCAATAACACAGTAAAGCTCTTGTTTGTACCCACTATACTATCTTTTCTTCAATGCATTTGGCCTTAGTTTTTTTCTCTAAAATTAAATGACTTGAAACTGAGACCTCTTGTAGTTCTTCACCACATCTAAGTTCACCTCTTAAGTGGGAAGGGCCAGCTCTAAGTTGCCTTTCCAAAGCTTTAGGGTACAAGAGAACCCTCCTGCCCATCAGACTTTACTCAGCAAATTTAGCCAAGAGCGTCTTTCCCTTCTCTCAGAAAGAAGGCACTAAAGACATTTACATAGCACCTTGACGCAGATGTTGGTGATATTGTAGGTGAAAAATCATATGTAGAATAGAGCTGAGAAGATTTACCTTTCATCTCTTGAAATCTCAAGGTCCTCAATAAAAAGTTAAGAATAAGTCGTAAAGGAAATGTTTAATGAGTGAGATTTGTGATTCATTTTCACTAAATGATGCCATTATCCTGTCACCCTAATGAGAAGGTTAATGGCATTTAAAATCCTGTGTTCTATGGATTGGAACTGAATTATAAATGAAATGCTATATTAATTTTTAAATATTAATCCTAATTTCTATGTGATAAAAATAGCACTACTATGTCTACTTTTTTTTCAATTAAAAAAAATCTGATCCCTATATATGCTATTACATATTTAAATCACATATTTATCTGGAGTTCGTTATTCTTCCTGGTGATTTGTGCATCTTAAAGCTTCATGGCCATGGATTGGTCAGTACCTAATAGCCTAAGAAAGGAAATCCAGCAGGATGATCCAAGAAGCACACTTGGCAACATTTGAAAGCTATGGTATGGTAAAAAAAGCTATATTTAACCAGGAGTTATTACGTTGCTTTCTCATTTTCAAATCTTGCATGTCCTCAGGAGACCTTGCCAAGGTCAAAAAGCACAAGGTGCTAACAAGGGGAAACCCCAGAGAAAGCCAAATCTGAAAATAGCATCTGGCTGTCTAGAAAATGGCAGCCTGCTGACTTGGCAACCCTGTAATTTTGTGGTGATCTCTGGAAGTCAATAGAGTCCTTGGATTGAAGGAGGCAGGGAAACAAAAGGAAAGGCAATGAAGCATGGAAGTGTTAAGATATAAATAAGACATAGCAGAAAGCAAAGACAGAAGTTGAATGAGATTTAAGGTAATAAAGAAGCATATGACTCTTTAATTAATCAAAAAGTAGAGCTTGGAAGCAACTTTTAGCATTCAAATTTTTAGGAATATATTTCAAAATCTTCTGGAGTTTGTCAAAAGCATCCACTGCTAAAATGTTCTAGATATTTATTTATTCTTTATCCAAAGATAAAAGAAGAAGGTGTTACAGCACTGGTCTGTGCACTGCTGTACAGAGGTAACTTGTGATTGCTGTGATGCTAAACACTGTGACACTGATGTGCCAAATGTGACAATGGTTATCCATTGTGGACAGTGTTTGGTGTAGCTTCCTGATTAAAACAAGCTTGGAAGCAGGAATGGCATCCACTTCCGAAATGGCTTGCCTCTGGAAATTCTATGAACATTGCTCAGATCTTTCATTCATAGGGTCACTATGAGTCATCTCTGACCTGATGGCACCTAACAACAATAGTAAGTATAAAAGACATGTATGTTGCTTTAAATTCTTCAGAGTGACATATTAGTGGTTTATATTTGGATATTAAACATAAAGAGATAATTATTTGAGTTGTTTGAGAAGAAAAGTACAATGAAAGTAATCTCAATTCTTGATTCGTTTATTTGAATGTAAAATAGACTTATATTTTAGGAAGTTCAACTGGGTAGAGATTAACTTAACCACCAGAATATTTTTTGTTATCTTGAAGAAATAATCATATAATTCTATCACTTCTCTTGACTTGATTTCTCTGTAATTTTTTTCTGCATTTTAATGAACAATAAAAATGGAACTATAGAATTTATCCTATCACCAGATAGGATGTAAATAGCGGTGAAGTCTTTTATCCAATATTTCCAAATGATTATAATGTACATCTTTTTTCAATGGTTTAAAAGGCATGTTGTTGTTGCCATTATGTTCCATTGAGAACAATTCATAGCAGCCCTAATAACCCAGATGGGAACCCTATCCAATCCTGTGAAATCTTCATCATCTCTGACACACTCGACCCCATTGCTACAAGATGAAATAGTAAAGTCACTTTAAGATAAATGCAAGATAAATAGTAAAGGCACTTTACTATTTGGTTAAAAGCAGGGAAACTAATTGTTTGTCAGGTATTCTTAATATATAACATATTGCTTTTGAAAAAATAATCTGAAAGCTCATTCATGATTATTTTTTTTGTCCTCTTTTTTAATTGTAGCAGAAAATGGCCCTCGTCTACTTGTGGAAGCAGAACAAGCCAAAGTGTTCTCACACAGAGGTGGCAATGTCACACTGCCATGTAAATTTTATCGAGATCCCAGAGCATTTGGCTCAGGAACCCACAGAATCCGAATTAAGTGGACCAAGCTAACTTCAGATTACCTCAAGGAAGTGGATGTGTTTGTTTCCATGGGATACCATAAGAAAGCCTATGGATGCTATCAGGGTAGAGTGTTTTTGACGGAAGGCAGTGACAACGATGCTTCGCTCATAATCACAGACCTGACGCTGGAGGATTATGGGAGATATAAGTGTGAAGTGATTGAAGGATTAGAAGATAATGCTGCTGTGGTATCATTAGAGTTACAAGGTAGGTATCTATAAATCATGTTAAACTTAGGAAAGAAATGAAGCATTACTTACATTTATACTTATCATGTCTAGTGGTTACCATAATGATGATGTGAGAAGCCTAAAGTCCATACATAGCACACTTTTCTAGTCTTTGGTACTTTGCAATCTGTCTATGATTCCAGCTTTCATATTTGAAATGTACACGCAATAGTTATGTAAACAGCAAGCTGTTTTCAGCAGGCAAAAGCGTATAGTGGGACTGAATGAAAAAGGTTCAAGATTTGTTTTATGATATTCAGAATCTGAATCTCATTGCATGGTTATTGAGGAGCTCAGATTGAGTTATTTCTGTGTTATCTTTAATGTTATGTTTCTAAAACTACCTTTTTCAAAATAATGGCAAGTTTTTAAAAATCTGCTAACTAAAAAAACATGTAATTATTTTTTAATAAGGTGGTCATGGAAATCTAATTTAATTGAAAAGTAACCTTCAGATTTAGTTAAATTTTTTAAAAGAAATATTTTCAAATGATTCAGAGCCTCTTGGACTTTGAACACCACATAGTAAAGGTAATTTAGGAAGAATATTTATTCTTAAATGGACAGAACTACTCAATAAAAAGTACCCACACAGCCATGCCTTCCATCTGCCCAGTGTCCACACTCTGTGCCCCACCATCAGGAAAATCTCTGTTAGTTTCTCCCATGTCTTAAATAATATTATTTTCATTAATTTGAATATTTCTTTTCACTGGTATTTGAATTTTCTTTTTTTCCTTTGTATGTATCTATGTCTTTAGGTATGTGTTTGCTAGAAGCTCTTTGGACATGTTAGGACAGATTTGTGGTTGTTTGAAAAACATCTGTTGGGTTTATTAGCACATCCCCTGAAGATAGGGCCTCCTGAATCCCATAGGATTCCACAGCATGTCGGGAGACTTGCTTTATCTGTCTGAAGAATTGTACAGTATTTGTACAGTATTATGAACTATGTCGTCATGGCCTGTCCATGTCTCAGTGTAATCTTTGGTTCCTGACTCCATTCCACCAATAGTCTTGGTTTATTGAGTCATATTCTTTTCCATATATACTGGTATTATGCAAGATGGAGAAGGTACCTGGCATAGAGAAAACAGTCAATCATAACATACTAATTGAGAGATAATTTCCTTTTCCAAGGAGACATGAGCAATGAAATAGCTCATAGTGTCAGGAGGCTTTGGCAAGATGCAATTCCCCAATGTAAGTCTTACCAGGTTGGAAGTTTATTTACCCTTTCTGTACCTTAGTTTCCCCATTTATTTAATAAAAGGTTAAATTGTATTATGTAAGTTACTTTATCTTCTAAATATATATTTATAAATCACAGTATTGCCTAAACAAATAATTCATACATCATAATTACTGTTTCTAATTACTTTAAATGAAATTATATTACTTGGAAAATAATCATGCACCTTTCTTTCTCATCCATAGAAATGTGGCTTTTCTTATTTGTAATTGTTACATGAAAATATCATTCACTCCACAATCCAGCTGTCAGTATTGCAAACTTTTTACATGTGGAGGATTTCAGCAATTATAATGTTACATTTTGAAACTATAACTAGCCAGAAGAAAAATAAACATATAAATTAAATATTGGCAATAGAGAACACAATGAAACTTTGAGCAATGCAAAGACTTTGATCTTGAGTTATCTGGAATATGTTGTTTCTAGCATCATCAGAAGATGCTAGTCTTGAGAGAGAGAGAGGGACATCATTCTGGGAAAGGCAGAGGATCTGTGAAACAGTGGAAGACTTGAAACAGTGGGACTAATGCAGTGATTACCACATGCAGTGGCAACCTTGACCATGACAGAGCTAGTGAGAACAGCACAGGACCCGGCAAGTTTCAGATCGGTTCCTCTTAGGGTCGCTATGAGTCATAGCTTGAAAGCATTTAATAACAATAACATCTTCTAACAATAAACGTTTTTCAAGTACATCTTAAGTAAATAAAATAATCAGTTGACCATTTGTTCTTGTGATTTTAAATTATTGCATTTCTAAAAATAGAAACTGATTGTAAAAAATTATCTTAAACTTGAAAGGAATGCAAACAAAATGGCATTATAATGGACGATTTGGAACTAGATCAGCCATAGTTCAGTAACATCTAATGACTAATCAAAGACAGATTTATTAAAGAAAACATTTTCCTAATCCTCATGGAAGCCCATAAAATACACAAAAATGGTGAATGCAAATATGAAATAGTTTCCACATCCTAAAAATTCCTCTCAGTTGCAATATCCTCCAGTTAGCCTTCTCAAACCACTTGGGAAATGGATTGCAAACCAAAAGGGAGTCTGACTTTCTCCAGTGTGAGCCACTTGAAATTTCCTCCCACTGAGCTTTATCTACTAATTAAATCTTTAGTTGTTGTTGTTGTTGTTGTTGTTATGTGCCATCGAGTCGCCTGCGACTCATAGTGACCCTGTGTACAACAACAGCCCTAAACCCTGCTCTGTCCTGTGCTAATCATGCCGCCTCCAACACACCCACCCCATTACCCCAGTCACTGGATCAATCCACTTCATAGAGGGTCTTCCCCTCCTGCATTGCCCCTCCACCTTCCCAAGCATGATGTACCTCTCCAAGGACATCTCCCTCCTTGCAACATGTCCAAAGTATGTAAGACAAAGCCTCAGAATCCTTGCCTCCAAGGAGTAGCTTGGTTTAACTCTCTCCAGGATGAATCTGTTTTCTTAGCAGTCCATGGTACATTCAGTACTTTTCTCCAGCACCACAGCTCAAAGGCATCAGTTTTTCTTCTATCCTCCCTAGTCATTGTCCAATTCTCTGATGCATAACAAGTGACTGCAAAGACTATTTAAGGTGTATCAGGCACACCTTAGTCTCCAGAGTGACACCATCGCTCTCCAGTACTTTGGAGAGCTCCCTAACAGCAGACATTCCCATCACAATATGTCTTTTAATTTCCTGGCTGCTGTTGCCAAGAGTGTTGACTGTGAAGCAAAGCAAACTAAAGTTGTGAACAATCTCAATCTCTTCACCATTCCTCCTGATGCTGCTAATTGGTCCAGTGGTAGATAAGTTAAATATTTTCTTTTTAATAAGAATGATTGAGTTTGAGAAGAAGGACAGGAGATATGAGAGTAGCTCCATCTCACTGTTATCTGAATTCTTAGCTGAACTAAGAGCCGTACCTCTTAGAAGCATTTCCAGTTTTTCCTTTTGTTTCACCACAGCAGAGTCAGTGGCAACCCAGTCTTTTCCTTTGTTCCCCCCTCTGGCTCTGATTCAGCTTACAGATCCCTCAGCCAAGAACCTGAGAAGGAAGGATGGTATCAGAAAGCTTTCCTGAGTCACTGCCAACAGTGGAAGCGAGGGTGCCAGCTGGACTGCCCCAGAAGGACAACTGTGTCCTACAGAGGCTGTTAGTGGACAAAACTTGATTTAATGCTATTGATATTTCTACATGAAGAGTCTTCCAACACAACTTATAAAAGAAAACGTTTGACTGGTAGTGCAGTTGGGGAATTGTGCATTCACCTTGAGCAGCATCTTCAGTCTCTTAAAATAACACACATGATATTTCACCAAATTACTGCATCAGTGGGACCATTTTTAGCAGTCTACTTGTCACAAAACACTAATTATTTCTAATTCTATTCAAGAAATCCCTGGAAAGTCATTGAATAATCCCTCTACAAGGAATTGTGTTTTAGCAGCTGTGAAAAAGGAAACCAGCAAATGATATAACTGATTTCTTATAAGATAATTTTCAAAAAATATGCAGAAGGCTCATGAGTTTAAATTAACTTTCTAGAAAAAAAAAATCTCAGGGTGACCTCACTAGATTTATTTAGCAAACATGATGTGTTCTTCCTCTGAAGATTATTCCTTCCTGATGGCAGTTCCAATATTCTGTTGCATTCCATCACAGATTTTTCTTCAACTAATTTCGAGGGCAGGTTGACATACCTTCATTCCTACTCTTTGCTATTACTACTATCCTACTCTTTGTGGATAGCAACAAATTGTGATGAACATTGAGAATCCCAGAACATTTAATTGTGCTCATGGGAAACTAATATCTAGACTGAGAAGCTGTTGTCCAAACAGAGCAAGGAAACACTGCATGGCCAAAATTAAAAAAGGAGTGTAAGAGGGATGTATCCTTTCCCCTTACCTTTTCAATCTATATGCTGAAGACATTATTTGAGAGGCTAGACTTTATACATAAGAATGTAACATCAGGATTGGAGAAAGACTTATCAGTAACCTACATTACACAGATGGAAACTTTGTTCGCTGAAACTGAGGAGGACTTGAAGCGTATACTGCAGAGGTCAAGGACTGAAGCCTTCCATATGAATTGTATCTCAACATCAGGAAAACAAAAATTCTCACCACTGGGCCAATAGCAACATCATTGAAAAGCATCATTTTTTATCTTGCTCAGATTTACAAGTCAATATTGGCACCAGTAGTCAGGAAATTAAAACAAGTTGCATCGAGAAAATTGTCAAGGGCCTCTCCAGAGTGCGAAAGAGTAACAGTGTCAATCTAAAGACTAAGGTGTGCCTAATCCAAGCCATGGTATTCTCAATTGCTATCTTTCTATCTGAAAGCTGGACTAAGGATGACAGAAGAAGAGGCAATGTCTTTGAGTTGCAGTGCTGGAGAATAGTATCGTACATACCATGGGCTGCCAAAAGAACAAACAGGTCTGTCCTGGAGAGGTTAAAACTAAGTTGCTCTGTGGTGGCAAGGATTTGGAAATTTCATGTCATATACTTTAGGCTTGTTGTTAGGAAGGGCCAGTCCTTTGAGAAGGACAATATACTTGGAAAGTTCGTGCACAGGAGAGGAAGACCACCGATGAAATGGATTAATACAGTATCTGTGACATTGGGGTCAGCTTTGTTGGAGAGAGTAAGATTGGCCCAGGATAGGGCAAGGTTCAGAGCTGTTATTCATGGAGTCCCTATGAGTCATAATCAAC